GGGACCTTCAAATTACTCTTCAAGGTCAAACCTATGGTACCATCTTATGTCCCCCTCGAAACCATACAACTTTTGTCTGAAACATTTTTTCATATCTCTTTTAGTTTTTTAAAAAATCGACTGTATAAATTAAAATGGCCCACCCTGTATATGTGGAAAACTTGGCATGCTCGTGATTATCAAAAGTACGTCAACTGATAGAAACGTTTAAATCTGACTCTGTTCGATAGCGAAGAATAATTTATAATAACGACGGCGAGAAGTGACATTCAAAGAATTACTGCACATCTACGTGCAAGCTGTAGGAATTCATGATTGTCTAACGAGCTGAAATAATATAAATACCCACTTATGTATATATAGGTGTACGTATAATGAGAAACGTATTTCTGTCATTTTTAAGAATGACTTCAGAATAACTTAAGAATGAGGTCGGTGAAAGTACAAAGCCTTCTATTTTAGAACGGTAAGGAACCCGTCGCGCTTTTCAATGAAATCTTTATACAGGGAGTTTGTCCACGTTAGCGCATGTATACAGTACAAGAACGGCAACCTGATCCCACTCGCATCTCAAGGGGAAACAAACAATACTCGTTGCACTCGTAACAAATTGGATATTTCTTCGATTCGAGACGTGGTGACGGGAAACCGATTGTATCTGTGTACACCGGTTCCTCCGCACGGGTTTCGCTGCGTAAACAGCCAGGGCAATCGACACCACGAATTGCGTGTCGTAGTAATAAACGTGTATATACATTTTTTTGTTTGAGAAAGCGAAACCGCGGATTTAAATCGATCGGTGCGGCGGCGGTAGAGAAATTGAATATATTGCCGAGATCATCAGTGTGCAAATGAAATTGAGTATATCGTTACGGTCATCAGCATGCAAATGAAGGGCAAGACCGAAACCACGTTGGCTATTAATACAAATCGCTTATCTCGTAATGAATGATTAACTCGACGTTTCCGTGGACGGAAAATGTTGGTCGCATTTGAAGATCCATCGCGGATTGAAATGTACAATGCACTCGGCCGGGCTCGGTGGATTGACATAAGTCTTGCCTCCGATTCGAATACACGCGTCAGTATCAGTCGGACGTAGGAGTCGAATGGCTCGAGCTTTATATCGAAAATTGATGGCTCGAACGTGACTAACGACCAGTGACTCGATATTTTTCTCTTAACCTGCTTTCGTTCTCTCCTTTTTTCCCTCCCCCCCCCCGTCCCTCGCCCTCGTCTCCTCCGCGAAAGCGTTTGTCTAGTGACTCGCCTAATTTTACCGCCATTTTTTTACACGACTGCGTAATGTATCGCTAAACGATTCAAAATGATTTCGAACGGGCTAGCGCGTGTGACGCAATTCATTACCTCCAACGTTCGCCGATATACATATATATATCAGATTCCTCGGTGCATGCTGCAACAAGTTACGTGCATAAATCGGACATATTTTGTGCGGCTGGTCGAGATCTACGATGCGAGATAACAGACGCGGAGCGAATCAGAGAGGAACGATAACGGTGGGCTTGCATTTCGACCGGGTTGCGTTCCTGGTATCCTATTTCTAAAGCGGCCCCTAAAACTAATATCACTTAGAGACGTCCAAAGGTAATGATTGAAATTCGAAATCGCGGTTTAACCGGTTCTCTCGTAAATGAAAGTACGAGCCTGCACCACCGCCGCACACACATACACACGCACATACTCACGCACGCAGTCGATTTCGGATTGTATTCCGCGAGATAACTCTCCGCCACATCTGACACTGAAAGTTATTCGGTGAACAAATTCCAAACAGCAATTAATTCTAAAAGCATTTAATCGCCGAAAAATGCTCTAAAGACGTTTGGTCGGTAAAAAATATTGAAATAAAAAAATGTCAAAGCCCCGAGCGTAATGATAAATTACAGGCGACGTCGTCGTTATCGTTTCACGCGTCGCGATTTTTTTCTTTCTGCGAGCGAGAGATGTCGAGTGTAGAGAATACTTTCTTTTTTGGTTTCAGCGCGCATAATGCCGCGTGCGAGGAAAAAAATCGATCACCCCCCCTCGTCGCACAATGGGATCCATTTGACGCTCCGTCGGCGCTTCTGCGGACGCGAATCGCCGGCAGTCGGATAATCTATCAAGGGACGACTCCTCGCGCGGAAGTTTTCAGGGGCAAGCACCTGTGGAATACACCCATACCCAGAAATCCCGGCGACAGCCTCGTTGTCGGCGCTCCGCGGCGAGATTCGGGTTCGCACGGGATCGTGGGTGGCCGCGTCGCCGTCGCCGGGGACAGGAGCAGGAGGGAACGCCGTGACCGAGGTACACGGGTACGTTTGATTGGACGAGAATGCTTTGGCGGTGAATCGGCGTCGGGGTGGGAACTAACGTTCCCCGGGGGTGGGGACGTGCATGGGGGTGCGAGGGGGTGCGAGAGTCGCGCAAAGTCGCGCGGGCTTATATAAACGCGCGGCGGACGGTTCGCCTTCGCAGAGCCGTATCCACCGTCGCTGGACGACACACCACCATCCCCGCGGACATCCCTCGGCAGGCCCGCTTTTGTCAGCTACCCGGCCTTCGTCAGCGTCAAGGTACGCGTAATATTCTTTTTCTAAAGCGCATCCGTTCGTCCGTTTCTTGTACGCGCGCGATAATCTTGCCGGCATTTTGAAAAACGTCCCGCGAGTAGTGCCAGCAGTTTTCGCCGTGCACAGATCTTTGGGGAAAGAACAGTTTTCCGTATAACGGGAATATTCGAGTGCCGGTTTCTGTGAATTATGCGTGAATTAAGGCAGCTTCGTGAATCCGCCTTTCTTTTTCAAAGATACAGAAATATAAGATGCGGTGCTAATTTATTTTTAATAAGATATAAACGGGACGATAGAATCTCATCCCCCTTTTAATTTCAACTTTGTTTCACGACTACGCCGTGATTTATGCAAAGTTCCCGAAGTAGTTAGAGATACAAAGTTCTGCGGCAACAGTGCAGTGTTAGCAACAGCAATCTTTCAAATCGGATGATAAGTTGCCACGCATTCGCATAATCCCCCGTGCCCTACAGTTAGAGTAATAACTCCGCGCTTGCGATTATCCGGCGGTAAATTCTAGCGCGGTGTCTCCCAGTAGTAAGACCCTGCACTTCTACAGGCAGTAGTACGGCTCTACGTTACGTCGGACAGTAACTTCCCGCACAATTTGTCAGCCGTAGAAATTATTGAGGATATTTAGAGAATCCCTGCTCATTCTGTAGTATAAACAGGATAATTCGCGACTGTATTACTTTTGAAGTTGAAACAAAGTTAATTTTATTCGATATATTATGTAAAGAAACGAAAAATTGGCCAATTTTCTCAAGAAATTCAGACTTCAAAGTTTCGCAGAAACGAAGCGGAATATTTTATGAAGCAAAATAATTAAATTGTCATATAGATTGTTTCAAATGCCGACACGTATTAAGAAAATATCATTTAAATATTAAGTGAGACTTTGCATATAATCTCCCTGTTAATCTGTGAGGGAATATTAGCGTTTGCTTTATTAGCGATATGACTTCCTCGAAAAATCTCTCTTATCGTGACGGATAAAAAAATATATTTCGCGGAAATAGAAAAAAAAGGACTCCACCGATTGCCGCTCTTGATACGTGACACTGTATTGCCGGGTGATGCGCGGGTGACCAAACAAACGACAAGATAAAAACTTGGCGAATAAATTATTTGGGTTAAATAAACACCGCAAAAATGGTTCGTACGAAACTCCACACAGTCGGCCTCACAAATTCGCCGAAATGTGGCGAATTGCCTTTACTTAAAAGCTCCCGGGTGCTCGTCGAAAAGGGGTGAAGCGAGACAATACGGAAGGAGAAGACTTAATTTTTAATCAAATATTGAATACTTCATCGAATCCATCCACTGAAGAGCTTTTACGGGCCGCGATATAATTAAATAATAAAAATTCATTGTTTGCTCTTAAAAAATTAAATCGATCTTCTCCCCTTCGGCGAGACGTAAAATTTCATCGGAGAAATTTTATTGCTACTTGATGCGAAACGCGAGAGAATTTATACGATATCTTAAGTTACAAGACTTTCCTCGAAATTTTCTAAAGAGAGAAGCGATTTCAAATTCATGAAGAAACCTTTTGCCACGAAATTGATAGAGGGTATATTGAAGCACCTTGCAGTAACGAATAAAATTCAACCTGGGTGGATATCGCTGCCGTTTTCGTGGCGAAATACCCTCGTTACCAACGTTCATTCCACGCTTGCATAGCGAAGCGCGATCGCGGTCGAAAGGGCACATAACGCGCATAGCTTGTAGCAGCAAAAGGATTAATTGTTGACAGATAAAGCACCTAATGAGGCGTGTGTACCGCAATAACCAATCGCGATTCCGCAATGCTATTGCCAGCGGGCGAAAAAAAAAACACCAACGCGTATTTCGACACAAAACACAAAACCGCAGCGAACGCATTATGATAATTTGCAATCGATTAATATCTAATTACAGCCCCCGGACATTATCGCGAGGCACGGAGTTACATGCGTAGCAGGATTACTCCGCGATGCGTGTCCTCGTAATTTCCTCTTCAATTGCCACGATCGATTAATAAGGCCGACTAATCAGTCGTTTGAATCGCATACGATTATTAGCTTAAGAACTAGCGCCGCTGGAAAGCTACCAAACAAGCAGTTCACGAATGATCTGGGAAATTACCCCAAGAGCAGAATTTGGGGATTTATTGTTCAATTTTATAGAAGCAAGATGAATTCCTGACACGAAAGCGCATATTTATACATAAGTAGCGAAAGCCTTGTTGGCGTGCAACTTTATACGTTCTGGTCTGAGACCTTTTACGAGTTTACGGTAACCACGAAAAGCATTAACGTTCCGCCAATCGGCAAGCCGTTTTATCGACGTGATGAAAGAAAGAATGAAAAATTGTGACATTTTGCTTTCTGAAAGCACGGCGCTCGATGCAAATCAGTTAACCGATAAATATATCTCGTACTTCTGCATTTCTTTATTTATCTCGAGGAAAATTTGAATTTTTCATCAGATTTGCTACAGTAACGTGTGTTTAAAAAAATTTGTGAACAACTGTTGTTAAGAATATTAGTCGGGAACGTGATGAAAATATCTCTACGTTATCCTTAAATTATGTGATTATTCCGTCTACAATACTTGGAATTTTTAACAGTTATTCAATTTACTTAATAATTCAGCATTTAATGATCGATTATTAAAGTTACTTAATGAAATGTTCAGCAGCAGTTCATTAATTTTCAGAGATTGAGCAAGTGATTGTCATAAAAATGTATCGCAAGAACGAGACAGGGTTTAGTTCATTTATAATAATTATTAATAGAGTTAAGTAATTTTTGTTGTTAAAATTTCCCATGTAAATCGACATGCGTTTGGTGCGGCCTAAATGCTCCTTTGAATGTTCATTAACAAAAGCGACAGAATAGAAACGTGCCGAGCCTTCCATCGGCAAGACGAAATTTAAAAGGGCCAAATTCTGCTGCGGTAACCGTTATAATCGATGGTCAAATATTTACCCACAATGGCTCGCGTGTGGCGATGTGAGTAAATATTTTACGATTGACTTTAGATAGAGCCGTATTCACTGTATTTACGAAACGATTAACGACGATGGTCAGCGGCGCACTCGGAGAGTTACGGCGCCACGCCGCGCCGCGCCGGCAGGAAATTGTTGAGCGAGAAAGGATTGGCTCCAGGATTAGCGATTAAAAAAAGCCATGTTGTCCGAGCGCACTTTTGCTGACATTTAACTAAACCAGAAATGAAAAAGCTAGTCGCAATTAATTACTTTCTACAAGTGAAATTACGGTATACCTTTTAGGAAATTTTCTTTCTTACGCTTCTATTTGCAATTTTAATAATAACGCTGTTTTAAAGTCAAAGAGAAACTGTGAGAGAGAGAGAGAGAGAGAGAGAGAGAGAGAGCTTTAAAATAAAACAAAATTGTACAAATAAAACGTTTCTCTCTCTCGTTACTTAAAAAATATTACTCGGGGAAGCTTATTAAAAGTAGAAATCACGCAGTATTTTAGCTATGAAAAATGCTTGAAAGCATTAATAGCGAGAAAATAAAATAAATGACCTAAAATTGGGGCGATAAATGAAACTTTGATGTTTAAGTAAGACTGTTAAACCTGCCTACGATCGGCAAATTACATAATGATGCAGTGATTGCACTGGCCGTTCTTATTCCCAGGTTTAAACGAGATGACGCTCTTTTGGAATAACGGCATTTGTACAAACCGACGGAAAGCAAATTGCGCTCCGCACACAAAACGCTCGACGATGGGACGTGGCGAGTAATGTCATTTTGCAACGATACGTTCGCGAGTTTCGTATGAATGGACTCCTGATGGTAGCGAGTTCTACCTGTAACCGGGTACACGTTTTAACTTTCACGCTCAACGATATGAAAGCCGCGAGAGGATATATCTCGTCTACGCGATATATCTCTTGCCGTGGTAAACTGTTTAAAGTATTTACTCACGGTGTCCATGCAGAGAGGATGCGTATTCCATATTCGTTCTAGAATTTACGCAATTTTAAATGCGCTCATGCGAATAGAATAAGCGGCGTGTAGTGTCGTTGATTTTCAAAATACGTTAATTTAATTTTCCGCGCTGCGCTTTTGCGTGTGGTATCGCGGGACGTACTTTATACGAGAAACTTTGGGAAAATATTATCAACGAATTGTATATCAATAAAATAAAAGGCTCACGGCGATATGATTGTTTTGGATATGATGATTAAAAGTTGGTTTTTTTTATTGGTGTGAATACACTTTTATTTGATTTTAAAGGGTAAAGAAAAATATAACGAAAATATAATAGAATATTGGTTAATAGAATAGAATTGGTTAATAGAATAGAACACAACAAAACGCAATAATCAATTATTACGTAAATCAATCATAAACGAAAATATTGAAGAAAATGGTGTAAAAAATGCGCAAACATATTCAATAAATTTGTAAAAATTATTTTTAAGTTCGCCTAATACTAATCGAACTTTAAGAAGAGGGGTGCAATGTTTATCCCATCCCGAATGATTTTACTCGGATTTATATTAGACCGACCTCTTTAATAATTTTTGCAGTCAAATGCAGGCAGAAACTTTACGCCGCAACGAAAATTCTCACGAGAGGCTAAGCGTTTGGAGCGCGAGCCACTTGGCGCCAAGTACCATTGATTTATAGGTAAATTCGGTGGCTTCTTATTGCGGCGAGATCGTAGAAATTCCAGCGGACCGAAAGGTGGTAGTAGCTTTTAATATTAGCGACACGGGCACCGGGTAAAAACGTATATAACCGATCTAACGACGGTGATGTTTCTTCCGCAACCGTCGCGCTTGTTGTTTATCGGGGCTGCCCAGGGTTCACTTTTCCTTTGTTTGTGGATTTTTTACTCTCAACGTAATCTCTCTTATAAATTTTGTTAAATATACCCGCGATGTTTTCATATCTCTGTAACTAATGTTCAAGTGAAAATCTTAAATTTTTCACTGTAGCTAATGAAAAAATTTATATTCAGCGATCATCTCTTTTTAGA